AAACGTCTACATGAAATGGTGACTCTTAAGAGTAGTGACTCTTCATCAGTGGCTTAAATATTTAAAGTGTGGCCAAAAGTGGTATCATTTTTTATGAAGAAAGCTGCTTAAGACTTTTTTTGTAATTACAGCTAGTCCTCGACTTACCACAGTTCATTTAACGACTGTTCAAAATTACAACAGCACTGAAAAAAGTGACATGACCGTTTTTTTCACATTTACAACCATTGCAGCATCCCCAGGGTCACATGAACAAAATATGGATGCTTGGCAACGGACTCATATTTATGACGGTTGCAGTGTCCCAGGTTCATGTGATTACCTTTTGAGACCTTCTGACAAGCAAAGACAACGAGGAAGCCAGATTCACTTAACAACAGTGGCAAGAAAGGTCCTAAAATGGGGCAAAATCCACTTAAATGTTTAACTTAGCAACAAAAATTTTGGGCTCAGTTGCACTCATCAGTTTTGTTCTGATGAGCTACCTGTTACGCATAATTCTCCATAGTGAATTATTCTTGCAGTATGGTGAGGTTCTTTTTATATTTGTTTAAGTCGAAGTTGAAACTGAAAATACGCTTATTACCAAAATGTCTTTTCACACATTGTTTGCTAGGAAATGTGATAATTTGTACCAAGGGTCAAAAAGGCCATCCTACTATCTCCAATCCAAGGCCCTGCAACTACTCCTCATGCACTTCCTATCTTTGGGATAAGTGAGAACATAGGAATTCTCTTAATCATACTTTCCTGAGACCTAGCCTAAATAAATCCAATGGAGTTCAGTGGAATTTACTTCTCCCTCAACATAGGAAACTGCTATAGCGCAGGCCAGTCATTCCTTTCAGTATTGCCTATTTTGACACCCTGCAACTTTGGGTAAAACAGGCAAAGGTCTTTTTTTCCTATCAATTACATAAAATTCTTTTAAGTGGAAATGCCAGGGATTTTCTACTTGCTGAGAATGTGCTTTACCTGACCTCTAGTCTATACATCTCCTAATTAACTTATTTAGTACTGGGCCTAAGTTTCATTTGAATGAGGACCCTTTAAATTTAAATAAACATACTTATCCAACTTGGTATCCTCTATATGTTTTGGATTGTAATTCCAATAATATCCAGTGAAGTAATGTTGGAGATAAAGTACCGAAATAGCAGTGTGTGGAAATAGGGTATGTAGTGAAATGGTTTGGGGTGGGTTTTTTGTTGTTGTTGAATATTTCCTATGTGTAGGTCATCACATACTGACACCATCCAATCACATGAACCAATACTAGTTTGGAGCATGAAGATCTGATTGCAGATTATTATTTAGCCCTGTAAACCTTACTTTGAGCTAGTCACTGGCTCGTTCACACATCATGCTAATTATAATGTGGTTTGATTGGATTAATTATAATTAAACAAACAGCTTTAGCACCATGACAACTATCAATGTCTCATAGAACAATGGTAAAGATAAAGTGAGGGAAAGAGTTCTGAGCTCCTTAGAGGAACAAGATATAATACATGAAATTATTGGTGCTTTTCAGCCTTTGAGTGATGGGCACTCAAGTGAGTTCAAACTGAATGTAAATCAGCTGTGTGATAGGGTTGCAAAAAACAAAAGGAAGATGCAATTTTAGGCTGTATCAACAGAAGTATGTTTTCCAAATCACTTTATTCTTCTTCGGTTACACTCCATCTGAAGTATTGTACACTACACTTTAAGAAGATTCAGAGAAATTGGAAAGATTCAAAGAAGGGCAACACGGGTGATTAGACTAGAAAACTAGACACTAAGTCATGTGAAGAAAGGCAGGAGATGAGCATGTTTAGCCTGGAAAAATATGACTTGGGGGACATATAATAGCATTCTTAAAATTACTTGTCTGCCACAGAGAAAAAAGATCAAATTTTATTGTCTCTCATTCCAGAGTTCAGAACAAGGAATAATAAAATGGAACTACAGGAAAGCAGATATTGAATTCTAGAAGAAATAGTCCTAACAATCAGTGCAATTTATTGTTGGAACCCAATTACTGACAGAAGTGGTAGGCTTCCTTTGCTAGATGTGTACTAACATTGGCTAGATAGCCCTATGCCTAGCATCATGAAAGCCAGCTGAGTGACCTTGGGCCAGTCAATCTCCCTCAGCCCAATTCACCTCACAAGGTTGCTGTTGTGGAGAAAATAGGAGGAAGAAGGGGACTAAATCACTAGACTACTAAGTGAAATGTACATTGCTTGTGTAAATATGTATAAGAAAATGTTATGTACTTAGAAAATCCTAAAATTAAGAGAGGGTTTTCCTGTGCAAAGCAATGGCAGTTGAAAGAAGTTTTCCAACTCTTGTGGTAATATTAGGAATTTGAGTAAAAAGCAAATGCAGTCATCCTCTCAGCAGATTCAATGCTAGGCAATCTATGAAGCATTGAATACTAGGAGTCCTTTTATTTAAGGAAATCAGGTTATATGGATGCACACCGGAGCATGTTCAATGGGTTCAGGAAAAGGAGACCCAGATAACAGTAAATCTAAAAGGAGGAATTACACTGCTTGCAACAGAATGAAAAATAAAATGTTTATAAACCTGAATCCTTGAGTTGAGAACTGTGCCACTTCTTTTAAACTTT